TGATAGAGAGGTTTAGGGTTTAGGGTGTAGGGGTTTAGGGGTTTAGGGTTTAGGGTTTAGGGTTTAGGGTTTAGGGTTTAGGGTTTAGGGGTTAGGGGTTTAGGGTTTAGGGTTTGTTGATTCTGGTTTCAGTTTGTTTGGTGGTTTAGGGCTTTTTTGGTTTATCTGTAGGGTCGTTTTTGGTTTAGGGTTTCGGTTTTGGGGTTCGTGGCATTAGTTTGTTGTTGTGCGTCTCCTTAGGCAGGCTGAATACCAGAATACGGGTAAATATCATCCCCTTAAAGTACTTATAAAGGTATATTGCACCATGATCCAAACAGTCGCGAGAGTACCCATGTTGCCCTAAACCCTAAACCCTAAACCCTAACCCTAAACCCTAACCTTTAAACCATATGGGGACGCTTGATGAACGGGGAAAGCACCGGAGATGGCCATGGACAAGTTTGGGTTTGGGGTTTGGGGTTTAGGGTTTAGGGTTTAGGGTCTAGGGTTTAGGGTTTAGGGTTTAGGGTGCTCGTCCACCCGGGGGGGTACGGTTGATGATAGACATCCGGCATTACCCAGAAAAAGGAATCTATCCCTTTGATCAAAGGGGAAGGAGTCAATGCTTACTTCCATCCCAACGATTTCTTGACCGTTTCAGCTGGGCCTCGAGACATCATGGTCTGTTTTGCCAGGGCTGGTGTCCGCATCCTCTTCGTGTGCATCCATGCACCTGTCCAGGGTTCTGCCGACAGGGACTCGTGGTGGGATGCACTATGCAGGAGTTGACGCAGTCCTTGTGCTGCTTGGAGACTACAACACTGGTTTTCCGCACTGTGTTTCTGAACGTGTCGGCGATCTGGTCCTTCCTGCCAGGTTTGGGCCTCCTCCCGGCCTCCCGGCCTCCTCAGTCTTCTTCATGACCTATGGCTGCCAAGCACTTTTGCGGAATGCCACGCTGGACGCAGCGAAACATGGCTTTCTCCCTCAGGATTGACCAGTGCCCGACTGGATTACCATGCCGTTCCGGTTTCGTGGCAGGTCCGCCGTCAGGGGTTCTGGGTCGAGGCTGCCTTGGATTGGGGTCAACCCCGTGTGGACCATTACGGGGTGGGTCTCCAAGCGTTCTTTGTCGCAGCTGTCCCTAAGCAGGGGAAATCGCGTCACATGAAAGTTGACCGCAAAGCAATGGGCACTGCGGAAGGACAGGCAGCGTTGCATTCCATTTGCCGAGCACTGCCACTCCAGCTCCCATAGATTAGGGTCCTTAAGGTGATGCAGGATTCATATCATCAACAGTAGTTCGAATTGGGGTCCCTTTGAGGGTTCTTTTTGTAAGGGTGCCGTACTATACTAAGGACCTAAAAAGGGGACCCTAATTTAGAGAATTACCCATATGTGTGGTCTTGGAAGGGTTTTATTGCTCAGGGATCGCAGGAACCTTAATTTCCCTATACCCGGAGCGTGATTAAAACAAAGAAAGCGAGGGATGCCGAACATGTTGTGTTAGGCTCTAATAGTGGGGCCTAAATAATTACCTATACTATCTTGGGGGTTCCCATTATAATTCCAGTATAATATACCCCATAACCCTATTGTAATTATTGAAGTCCCTATATTAGGGTCTAGAATTTAGGGTTAAGGGTGGGGGGTGAGGCAACCGATTTCAAGGTTTAGGGATGGTTAGGGCTTATGGTTTACGTGTTTAGGGGTTTAAGGCTTAGGGTTTTAGGGCAAGCTTGTTGTTTGATTCTTTTTTTTTACCGTTGCTTTATATTTTTGTTATGCTGTCGTCTTGCTCAGCCCTGTCTTATCAGTTGTTGTCTTCTTAATTTTTGTGTATTTTCCTCTCGTGGTTTTGTTCGCTGCCTTTCTTGTGATTTTGCCTGTTGCTTGTGTGTCTGGCCAGTGCCTTTTGTTGTTTGCTTCTGCTCTGTCTGCTTTGTGGTTTACTGTTGGTTGTGTTCCCTTTGTTTCTGAGCTGTGCTTTCCGTTGTTGGTTGCTTTGTTGTGACTGTTCATGTTTGCTTGTCTCTTCTTGTCCCTCATGATCTTCAGTTTCTTAGTGTATCGCTTTGTGTGGGGTGAAGGAATGCCATAGCCCCTAATCTCTCAACCCCAGACCCAAGACCCCTAAACCCTAAACCCTAAACCCATAAACCCCAAACCCTAAACCCTAATAAGACCCCTGAGCCCTACCCAACCCTATAGAAGCCTGAAAGGACACCGGCAGAGTAACTCGTTAACCCTGAACCCCAAGCCCTACGTACTATAGGGGCCTGAATAATTGCCTATAGTATTTTGGGGGCTCATTCTTATAACTATAGAAAATATGCCCCAACACCCTATTCTAATTAGTAAGGCCCCCATATTACACCCTTTAGGGAGCTCTTCAATCCTTGAAAGGAACCCTAAACCCTA